CCCAAAAAGTGTCTCTGGTTCATAGTTTTTTGTTGATTTTGATTTTCACTTTCTTATATTCATTTTCCTGGTCCCTTATTTAAGTTTTCTAGATTCCTGCTATGAGTAAGACCATCCGGTATTTTTCTTTTTCTTTTTGGCTTATTTCGCTGAGCATGATCCCTTCCAGCGCCATCCATGTTGCTGCAAACTGCATGTGTTTATCTTTTTTGAATGCTGAGTAATATTCCATGGTATATATGTACCACATCTTCTTGATCCAGTCATCTATTTTTGGGCATTTGGGCTGTTTCCAAAGCTTAGCTATTGTAAATAGTGCTGCTATAAACATAGGGGTGCAGGTGCTCTTTGGAATTGATGTTTCTGTGTCCTTTGGGTAAATACCTAGGAGTGGAATTGCTGGATCATATGGAAGCTCTATGTTTAGTAGGTCCAGAAATCTCCACACAGCTCTCCATAGTGGTTGGACCAGTTTGCACTCCCACCAACAGTGCAGTAGAGTTCCTTTTTCTCCACACCCTCGCCAACATTTGTTGTTGCTAGTTTTTTTAATATGTGCCATTCTCACTGGTGTAAGATGGTATCTCATGGTAGTTTTGATTTGCATTTCCCTGATTACAAGTGATGTTGAACATTTAGAAAAAAATGGGTTTTATTTTTTGGTTTGGCTAAGAAGTCTTTTTAAAAATTTGCTACTCTCAATTTTATGTCTCAGGTTTTCGCTGGTAGAATTTGGCTTCCCTCTCATGAGGCAAAGAAGGGAGTGCAAATATAACTTTCATTACCTTTCCTTCAGCTGACAATCTCATATTTACGTGAGAATTATAAATTTTTAGCAGAGTTACTGTCCTGATCTCAAGATGACAAAATATAGATTTGAAATTAACCTGAAGAGCAGATTTTTTTTTTTTGCTACACATATTTTTTTTTTTTTAAAGAACAGTCCTGACAGGTTTCTCCACTGTGCAATCTCTGTCTTCTGCTAAGTATTGGGCTTTGTCTTCCCTGTTCATCTGTGGTGGTTTTCGCCTTATGTTCAAATGCACACTCTTGGGATCAGAAGTCAAATACTGTTTGCTTAGTACTTAAAAGAATGCGTATTATCTTATTTCATGTCTTAGTGATAATTCACTCAGCTTTGGGATGGAATTTTGAGTGCTGCCTGTTATAAGAATACCCTACTTAACTAGCTCACTTGCAAAAGTTCAAACAGATCCCTAATAAAGAAGTTTAACAAAGCTCTTAAAAATGTGGAAAATTGTTTTTTTAGTAGATATGATGGAGAAATCACTTTGTAGCATTCCCAGTGTCTGCTTACTAAGGCTACCAGAAATGAAGTAATGGCTTTTTTCTCCTTATTTGTTATGTTTGGGAAGGAATATTGTGGGCCCCACGTTGGTTGGGTCAAGGAGATGAGATATAATTAACTTTCTTAACTGTATATCTAACCGGGGACCAAGTGATCTTTATGCCAAATTAATGAAAAGTTCAGCTGTTTCTGTGACCCCTTAGCTTACATTTCATCTACATTTGGGGACAGACACAGCAAAGTATGTCTCTTCAAACGAAATGTAGCCTAATACATGGGGAGACTCTTAGAAGGTATGAATTCAGGATCGAAATCTAACTTCCTCTACAAGCCCCACTTCTACCTCCAGGAGAAATGATTGCAGAAGAAACATGTACCTGGAAGTAAAAGTGCTTTTCAGAAATGTAAAAATTACATTGCTGGGTGTTGCTGCCAGATAATACCTTGCTGTTTAGTCTGTGTGCTCTCCCTGCACACTGTTGTCTGCACTATCCACAATGACCAAAGGAGAAATATACAAAATAAACCTTAAGCTAAATGTTAAAGAATAAAATAACAAGAAATCAATTTTGCTATGCTTTTCCTTCCTCAAAATATTTTCATTTCCATTTGATCAAAATAATGGGTTACTAGAACAGTCTTCTTAGCTGTTTCCTTACTGGGATGTTGACCTCCCATCTTGTTCACTTATATGTCACCTGGTTGTTTAGCAGTGGGCCAGGTACCTGAGTCCTAGATATTTTCAAACCCAGAATATTCTCTTTTTTTAAAAAAAAATATTTATTTACGCTTATAAGAACTGGGGTATAGGCCAGAGGTGCAGGGGGTGGGGGGGGTGTGTATGTGAAAAGATTCACCAGAGACAGAGTGGGGAGCAGAACAGGCAGATCCACTGAAATACACTGCTGAGGGGAGCAGCAGTCGAGTCAGGAAAGGTCTGCTGCACCATGTGGGTAGCTCCCTGGCTGGCTGGGAATCAAATTCATGCTGCTGAGGCTGACGACAGCCTCATAGTGCTCTGCTCAACCCCTTGCGTCACCAGGGAGGCCCTCCAGAATATTCTTAAGTCACATCGTCATCAGTGGGCACGAGTATCCTTATACCCAAAAGGCTGATGATATCCTGCAGTATCTGACTGACAGGGGAAATCAGCTTCCTTGATAAGACAATTACTATGCTATTGAAATTGTCATTATAGACAAGCAGCACAGTTACCTTAGATGTTGCACCGATGCACACTTTAGAGAAGAATCTAAAATCACCAATTTAATGGTAAATTCTCAAATATTTCAGAGTTCATTCTTTATTTTCTCATTCAATGTAAGTGATAATGGAAATGTGAGTAACAACAAAATTATAGAGAATTATTATTATTTGATATTTCAACAAGACAATTTTAAAATATATTTTAACATCAGATTGATATTTAAACTGATGCCAAAAAATGTAAGCCCCCCCACCAATCTCCCTTAAAATAATATGATACTGATGTATTGATATTGAATAAAAGTATGATATATCTGTGAACAGAGACTTCAATTTTTGTCAGGTCCGTGGTGCATTAGATCAAAATAAAAACTTTAATAGAAACAAATTTACTTAGTTCAATTGGTAAGGGAGGCAAAGAACCAATTTGCAGATCATGGGAATCGAAGCTAGTATAGTTTGGGAAGTATTTCAGTCAGAAGCAGCTAAAACGTGGTAGGCAACCATTTAAGGCTAGCTGTGAGGAGAATGCCTTTACGTTAGCAAACTGAAGCCCATCTTCTGTGGACCAATCTGTACAAAAGCAAGCACAGTAGCACCGAGTCAGCACACTGGCATCTCAGCACAGGCTGGCGGGCAGCCAAGGCCCAGCCTGCTGAGAGAGAAAATTGAAAGATAAAAAAGAAAGCAGCTGCACAAGGTGAAGTTTGCTGGGTGGATGTGGAGATGCTTCTGGGCAAGCTGGGGAAAGAAGGTCAAGGTTTTGCTTGTCTGGCGCCTTCATAGTGAGACCCACTGCTGGGGCGGCCTAGTTTCACAAAAGGTCAGGTCCTTTTTGTGGTAAAAAATACACACATCTACAAGCTACCTCAGAGAGTGAGCCCTGGAGTGTGCTTTTAGGAACAGGTGTGCTCAAGTGCCACTATTTTGTTTTTAGCATCTGTAAATTGTTGGATATCTTGATTTGAAAGTCTATTTACTGACCTCTGGGTGAGAATCAATGATGTTCCAGAATTAGTCAGTTAGCAGAAGTGCTTTATTCCAAGAAGGGACAGAAAGAAAGCAATATCATAACACTAAGCTTTTTGGTGATGAGTGCTAAAAGGTACTGGGCCTCCTGGCCACAGGCTCCAGGACCTGAGTCTTAGCCAGATGCCTCTTCCAGCCTCATCATGACCAAAGGACTTCTTGGCCAAAGAACACAGGAATCTGTTTTTCTCTGAAGATTCTCCTACCTTTCTAACACAGGAAGACCAGTCTCTTTGACAACTCCCATCTGACAGTTCATTCAACAGCTGATCATTGAATTCCTACGTTGTGTCACCAGCCTCATTAGTATTTATTTGCTCTCAGCATGTCATGTAACTATTTGTCATTTTCTTGGCCCACTTCATCTAGGGTCACCAAGTTGCCTAGCTCTAGGTGACACCATGCATGCTGTTTTCCATATAAATGACTCTTTCTGGAGTTATGCTATGCAGAGTCTTTGTCATTTTAACCAAGAGGACTATAGTTCTTGGAGGACAGTAGAAATGTGTGTTGTTTCTTGAAGATATGTTTAGGGTCTAATAAAACATACTGCCCATAGTAGTTGCTCCATTAGTGGAAGTATATTGTTATGACAATGATGGTTTATGGTGAAAGTATCTCTTCTTGGGAAAAAATTGTGGATATGTCTAAGCTATTTAAGTTGTTTGGTCCTTGATTCAGCAGTAAGTGCTTGTTCATGATCACTTTATTCTTATTCCTTATTCTTAGTCCTCACCTTGAGAATGTGAACAGTGATCATTTTGGGGAGAGATTTCATTGCAATATGTACTATTATCAAGGAAAAGAATTGAGTTTAATCAAACACAGGTAAAAATTATGTAGCTATAGTTTCCCATTATTTATTTTAGCCAGAAATAAGAAACATTTTTGCTTTCCCAGCTACCCAGACTTTTACAGTCAATGAAATAGACATATTAACTTCTTTATATCATGCACAATATTGTAGTTCTTTATGTTTTATTAGCCTCAAGATTGCTAAAATTCACTTGGGATTCTTTGAACAAACCTGTGTGCCATTGTTTACTGAGATCACTTGGAAATATGTTAGCCTTTTTATCCTGGTCTCTAAATTGATTCTATATTCCATGATGATATTTTCAGCTATTTCATAATTACATGGCAGTTTCATAACTCCTACTTGGAACCATATATAGTTTTAACAGATTAAATTTTACTAATTGTTTCCTTTCCAGAAATAGATTTGAACTAGTATAATTGGAAACTATAAGTATAAACAGATGCTGACAAAATGTCAATCAAAGATAAAATTTGCAAGACTATATTACTCAGCAAAGTGTTAGGCAATAGAATGGGACATAGGATTTTTTTTTTTTTTTTTTTTGGTGAGAATATCATTGTATTTATTGTCACATGGATAATTTTTCCATAGCTTCAAGATTTTTTTCTCTGAAAAATAACTAATGAATCTCGAAGAAAAAACATGGAATGCTTCACAAATTTGCATTTCATCTTTGCACAGGGCCATGATAATCTTCTTTGTATTGTTCCAATTTTAGTATATGTGCTGCCTAAGTGAGCATAGTACACAGAAGATTTTAAACCATGGTTCTTATGCCCAAAGAACACATCAATCTGGAGATTGATGACAACAATTATAAATGGTTAAAACCAACATACGATATAAAAGCTGCATTTTTAATTTAGGATTGCTTTAAGTGTGACAGAAGATCTGAGATCAAAGAGAATGAATTGAAATGTGAACTGGATTTTTTAAATGTGTTGTAATTGAATGCTCAAGGACATATATAACTAACTACTAATCTTAGTCTTGATCATTATTACAATTACCAAATATTTAATAAGCATCAGCATCTGTCTGACTCAGAGCATACACACATGTTTTTCCCTATTGAAATGTTTTTCCTTAGACCCCAAATTAAATGTCACTTTTTCACCATCTTCCCCCTTCACTTCTGAGTAGATTAATTCTCCATTACACTTCTTCATTACACCCTGTATTTTTCATTTGTTGCATTTATCAAATCTGTGATCAAAACTCATATAATTTATATTTTAATGTTTGTACCCTTGATCAAAAATAATGTAGGCCCCAAAAGGTGAGGATAAGGTATATGTTGTTCATTATCTAACAAATGCCTTTAACCCACCAGGTTCTTGTTGAATGAATGAATGAGCTAAGCTCACAGATATTGTGAGAATAAAGATGAGTAAAGCTTAGTGTCAGTGTTGAAGAACACACAATGCATCAAAGAAGAGCAGCATCCATAAAGTGGTTAATATTTTGAGGGCCGACTTTTCTAGAAATGTTTTATAATAAAGAATATTCAGTGTAGAGAGGATTTATAGTGTTCCTGACTTGTGAAGATCACTTTGTACCACAATATATAATTCAAGCTACCTAATGTAAGCCTGAATGGGTACACTACATGATCTACTTGTATATTTTAAAGAATTATGAGACGGATGTCTTTGATAGAGTAAATGCATTTGAAGCACAGTACCCTTAAAATGAATTACAACCTGAAATGGTTCTCCAGGGAGAGTGAAGATATTCAAAATGCTCTTTGTTCTTTGATTTCCCCCTCATTCATATGTAATTCTTCTTTTTTTCTTTGAAATTGTTGCTCAATGCTTCAAATTTCAGTTTGTTTATTCTTTGAGAAGATTAATAATTGTCACATAAAAACAACCAGCAATTAAATGCAATTACTAATTTATGAAGAAAAGAGATGATAATTAATAGGTTTTAGAACACTGGAGATTTTATTTTAGGCATATTTTTTCAAATACCAAACCATATGTTAAACCAATGCATTACTCATTCGCAGTGATTATAATTGTGTATAAATATAAACATCAGACATAAAAATTGACCTTCATGAAGGTTTAGGAGGAATACAACCAATCAAACAAAGCTAAATATTGTAATACAAAGTGAATTAGGAAAATTGATGTGTTTTCTTGTTTAAAAGAATAATAAAAATTGTACCACTCTGGTAGGTGATGTTGATAATGGGAGAAGCTATAATCTGTGTAGGGGCAGAGGCTATATGGGAACCTCTGATCTTCTCAATTTTGCTATGAACCTAAAACTGCTTTTAAAAAATAAGGTCATCAAAAATAAGAAACAGACTGATAGGCTACCTATGATTGTAACTGGAAATACAGATTTGCTCAACAATGACAGTCGTGCTGGAAAATGTAAGGTCAGAAAATACTTGGTTATTTCTATTTTATCAAAAAAGAAGCTTCCTTACCTGTGGATGAGTTTGATGGTAACAATGATATTGCTGATAGAGGAAATGGATCTCAGTCATCAAGTATTTCCCCTGGGCTTTAGGGTCTCAAAAAATTCTTTCTTTCATTTTAGGTCTAAACAAACATCTTTCCTCTTACTTTTAGTTAAAATATGTATTATCACATGTGTGGGTATATGTGGAATGTAATACATAATATTAAGCACAGCTGAATCATTTAGGGATATATTTGCCAATGAATTGCATAATAGCTAATTATGGCTTTTAAAAAATTGAAATGAATTTTCTTATGTAACAATAATTCTGGAGGAAGGCAATGCAGGCCGAGTGTAGCTGCTATGAGCCAGATTGCTTCTCTTTACTGAAGGCATATTATGTGGTTTTCCTTCTCATGGCCTTAAGATGGCTGCCACACCTCCAAGTGACAAACCCGCTTTGCAGGTAAGAGGAAGGGGCAGGGGATAAAGGATGTTCCCCCATTAAACCTTTATTAAGTAGAGGAAGCTCGATCACATTACTGTTGTCTACATTTTATTGATCAGATCTGTGTCACAGGCCACCTCCAAGTAGAAGATAGGCTTAGAATTTGAGAAGAAGAATTAGAATGGGTGCTGACTGAGCCAATTTAACACCGCAAACCACAACTCTGTTAAAGTAGTTCTACTCGCAGGGCTTCCGTAGGGATTAAGTCTCAGTGCTATCACCTCCATGACCTGAATTTCAGTAGATCTGCCTGTTCTGCTCCCCACTCTGTCTCTGGTGAATCCTCTCATTCCCTGCATCTCCATTCTACACCCCACTTCTTCTAGTAAAAAAAAAAAAAAAGCTCTTACAATACTTACAATACAGTTTCATAGATCTTACAATACAGAGATCTTACAATACAGTTTCATAAATACAGATAAAGGAAACTACCCTAAATTTAATGGAAAACAAGTAACCTTTTTATTATTGTTGATCTTTTATTATAAAATATCAATATATGTTAAAGAAAAATGCAGGAAGTACATACACATATACAGGTAGTTATGTAGATATAACTGTCTATTTCCTTATTTTTTTGCTATTCATTTAGTATTTCTTTTGCCTTCCCTGAACAACTAGTTTATTTGGCCTGCTTGTAACATTGTATGAATGAATCATGGCTTTATCCTTTTGAGTCTTGCTTCTTTTTAATCAATGTTATATGTAGTGTGTACTAACATACATTCGTTTTTCGTGCTGTGAACACTCTATTTATTTATTTATTTTTTATATTTTATTTTATTTAATTCTTACATCATTTTTCATTTTTGCACAATATATGCATTTTCATTTTGGTTATATTTCCCATATAATTGTACCCCCCCTTATTTTGATCCTAATCCTTCCTCTTCCCTGCTCCATCGCACCCATAGTCTGTCTCTGGTTTATAGCTGCTTGAACATTCTATTTTTTGAGTTCTTCATCCATTCTACTGTTGATGGATGTTTGGATTACTCAGATTTTTGTTTTTTAATGCAAGCTGCTACTTTAATGATATCACCAAATCACTTCTAATCGCTGTGTAATGCTCAGAACTCACAGAATTTTACTGTAAAGTGATATCAATTTATAGTGTGTAAAGCAATGTGCAGACTGTGGATATCTTGCAATGCACAAATCTGTGACTTGCTTATAATTATCCCTGTCTAACACACTCCAGACTTCCCCATATGTTCTCTCACGTGGGCCTCCCAATAACCTTGTGAGTCTGCTTCCAGTTTATGGGTGAAGAAGAGGTGGACCCAACAGCTAGATAGGTGGGGCTGGGACAAGAGCTCAGGTCTCCTGGGTGTCTTTGCAATATGTGAGTGGAGTTTTTAATAATAATAATTAACCTCTGAACACTGCCTGACAATTGACAAACACTGTGAATCCATTGTTTCATTTGAAGCCAAGCCTATGGAAAAAGTGTTTGAGTTTGTTCCAATGTTCCTGACTGAGAACATCATCTGATTTGTTATTTCTAAAGTCAAATTAAATCTGACTGTAGGTCCCCTCCTCTCATTGGACTGGGAGAAAATTACATTGTTGCCGATGACTCTATAGTGACAAAAAAAAGATGGAATTGAATTTTGTAATAGATGACATTGTCACATAAATATTATTATTCCTACTTGGCTGGCAAGGAAACTAAAATTGGAAAAGCCAATTTGATGAAGATTACACAGTAAATAGGTAGATGAGGACAAAAACTCTAGTCTCAGTATTTAGTAAACTATCTTTAGCTTAATATTTTGTATTTATTTGTATATGAGCAGACTTAAGTCCCATATGCATCCAGAACAGTGTGATATAATTAATAAGCAACCAAATCCTTTGCTATTTCTGAAGCACTGTGCCTCATGAAATTATTCTGAAACCAACCAAGATTATCAAAAACATTCCCTGCTTTCCAATCAACATTTTATTCCACTTGAGATGCAGGAATCATGCATATTTTTTAAGCAACTTTCTCAGGTTGCTCTTTTTTTCCAGAGGTAATAAAAAGATCTCCCTCTCTAAAAGTGTGTGTGTGTGTGTGTGTGTGTGTGTGTGTGTGTGTGTCTCCTTAGAAGTCCAAATACTAGAAGCTGATTAATTTAGCAACAAAGGTGTTTGGTTTTGGTTTGGTTTTTATGCAAACCCAGCCCAATGCAGATTTCACAGCATAGCCTGCAAATATTGGGGGCCCACCTACCCGGTCTGTTGTGTTGCATTAAAACACACCCTTCTTCAGTCAGGGATGAGGGTCTGATTAATGGAGAGCCCAGGCCTCTCAGAGTCCGGTGGATTATTTTTAAATGCAGCATGTGTTATGCTTTTACTACTATAAAAATTTATGCTTGTTTTAGAAAATGTAGGAAATATTTTGCCTTCCCTTCCAAAAAGAAAAAATATTTCACATTCAATTCTGTTCTCCCAGTACTAATACTCCGTTGGTTATAGTAGTTGTTTGTATATTCTTTTTCTTTAAAGATTTATTTATTTAATGCATACAAGAATTGGGGTACAGGCCAGAGGTGCAAGGGGGTGAGAGGATTCACCAGAGACAGAGTGGGGAACAGAACAGGCAGACTAACTGAAATACACTGCTGAGGGGAGCAGTGGGTGAGTCAGGAGAGGTCTGCTGTGCCATGTGGGTAGCTCCCTGGCCAGGGATGGAACTCATGCTGTAGTGGCTGTGAATAGCTTCATAAGTTGCATCTTAATCCCTTGCACTACCAGGGAGGCCCAGTTGTTTGTATATTCTTTCTGCAAAGAAGATGCATTAATGACATAGAACCTGAAGAAAAACTTTT